ATTGACAGAAAAATATCTTCGAAAATTATACCATGCACTGATTGAGCCTCATCTCACATATGGTATATTAGCATGGGGAGCTGCATGTTCCTCACATATCTATAATTTAGATGTTTTTCAAAAAAGTATTCTAAAAATGATATTTAAAAAACCGAAACTTTGTCCCACTGAAAAATTATACGCAGATGTTCGAATGTATGATATAAGACAGCTTTATTTCTTACACAGTATCACTCACTACCATAAATTTGTAAACACCGACCAAAAAATTAAACATAATCATTATACCAGGTACAAAATTCGTGGCACAGTAGTTCCTCAACCGCATAAATCTATAATGCAGCGATCATATCTCTGTTTAGCGCCTAAATTCTATGAAATTATACCTAAAGACTTAAAAGATTTACGTTTCGGAAATTGTTTCAAAAGAAATTTAAAAAAGTGGCTACATTCTATATCTAGGACTGAAATTCATAAACTCATAAATACGAACATCAACTAAATACATAATCTACTGTAGCTAATTTTTGTCCTTTTTTGTCATTTGCATTCTACAGTTTCAACTTAAATTTATTGGTCCATGTACAGGCGATGCCTTCTATTGGGCCTGTTTTGCTTTTATATTTATTTACTCATATTGTTTGTTATCTTTGTACATTGAGTGAATAAATATTATTATTATTATTATTATTATTATTATTTCTTTGGATGGTAACGTTTTGGCGTGCAAAAATCTGATGACCGCGCTGGCTACAGAGTTGGGAACCATATTTTTGAGTCAACCCTCGTATGTGAATATCAGTGGCCTAAAAAAGCAATACGAAACCCCTTTCGAATACCTTAATAAACCAGATTTGTGGCCTTATTAGGTGGAGGACGTAGAGTGGCTGGCCATGGAACGTGCTGTATCGAAGGTTCGTTCCGACGCGGAATTTTCCGCAGGCCAGGATTAATCTTGGAGCAGCTTAACAACTGATTGAAGTCTATAAAGTTGCAAAGCACGATAATAAAAGTTTTACTGTTAGAAAATAGTGAAGGTGCCAACAAAATATATACCGAGTGACAGAAAAAGGTAAAAATGATTAAAGTTAACGCTTTATTCGTCAACTGACTGCCGACCTGGTTCACTAATGTGTTGAGTATCCACGATTTCTTATACACTCATTGACACTCCTGGGCATCGTGCAGAAGCGACATCATCATAACTGTGAGTTGGGAGAAGATTTAAGTTTTTTTTATTGACTAGCTAAATCAGGAGGATGCAATATAATAATAAAAGGTCCGATCGTCTCTCTTCTGGAATGAATGAAACTAAAAAGTCAAAAGCCTTTCTTTCAATTACCCACTGAAGCTGTAAATCAATCAAAGTGACAGTATAACTTCGTTAAAAGAAAACTGTTTTTATTTCTCTGAGACACGTACATTTGATATCGATCTCCCCTCAATAAGTGCTGGGAAAATGTCTACAACCAACGCGAAGACTACTTCAGAACTATGACCCCTTAAAATTATTATTGATGACCTTTTTATTCATTCAGATCGTGAAAGCTTTTACTTTGTATATTTTCGTACCGTTTAGATTGAACTTTTGAACTTTTGCCTTTCGGTAAAGGCATGAGGTGATATTTGATCAAATGCATATAGCCGATTTCTTCAAAAATATCTCGCAAGCTTTATTGGTCAAATTTACTTAATCTAACATGTCCCTCAAATGTTTGTAGAATTAACTACAATGGCAACATTTACTCTATTTTTTGATCAATGTTTCAATGGTTATTATAGCAATCTAACCAATTTACAACGTGCAACTTTGTAACCGATTTTATGTTGTTGCAGAACCAACACCACTATACGACAACAACCACTACCACGAGGAATGTCTACGGTGCAATTCTTGCGGACTCAACTTGACGGGTCCGAATCAGAAGCGGGCTCGTCGCTTCAAGAACCAGATCCTGTGCGACCTGCACTTCGCAGACGTCGCTTTGATGGAGTGCAGCGATTTCATGCAGCAGCTGCGCAGCTTCAAGCCTCAGTCGCTGGGATGCGCCGTCGCTAGGAGAAAGAGTTCTACTACCTTAATCTTTCCGCTACCGCCGCAGGCTTGTTCAGGTTTGTCTCATTCTCGTTTTCAAAAATTAGTTACAGCAACTGCTCAGCTTCAAGCCGCCACAGCTGGGATGCGAAGCTGCCAGGAGAAAAGGTTCTACTACTTATATGCAGGCTGTTCAGGTTTGTCTTCCTTTACCATGGTTAACGCAAATATGATTATAGCAGCTGAGCAGCTTCAATCCTCAGTCGCTGAGGTGCGCTGCTGCGAGAAGCAAGGGTTCCACCACCTCGAACTTTCCGTTACCTCCGCAGGTTTGCTCAGGTTCATCTCTTCTTTTCCATGGTGAATGCAAGAATAGTTATAGCAGCTGCTCAGCTTCAAATCGCAATCGCTGGAATGAACCGTGAGAGTTCTACTACCTTGATTGTTACGTCACCTTCGCAAGTTTGCTTAGGATTGTCCCTTTCTCTGTTTCATGATGAAAGCAAAAGTAGTAACAGCAGCTGCTCAGCTTCAAGCTTCAGTCGCTGGGATGCGCCATCGCCAGGAGAAAGAGTTCTACTACCTTAATCTTTCCGCCAGCACCATAGGCTTATTCAGGTTTCTCCTTCTCTTTTCACTGATGATGCAAAAATAATTACAGCAACTGCTCAGCTTCAAACCGCCACAGCTGGGATACGAAGCTGCCAGGAGAAAAAGTTCTACTACCTAGATCTTACCGTTACCACTGCAGGTTTGTTCAGGTTTGTCTTTCTTTACCATGGGTAATGCAAATATAATTATAGCAGCTGAGCACCTGCGCAGCTTCAATCCTTAGTCGCTGAGATGCGCTGTTGCGAGAAGCAAGAGTTCCACCACCTCGAACTTTCCGTTACCTCCGCAGATTTGCTCAGGTTCATCTCTTCTTTTCCATAGTGAATGCAAGAATAGTTATAGCAGCTGCTCAGCTTCAAATCGCAATCGCTGGAATGAACCGTTGCGTTAGGGGAGTTCTACTACCTTAATCGTTACGTCACCTTCGCAAGTTTGCTTAGGATTGTCCCTTTCTCTGTTTCATGATGAAAGCAAAAGTTGTAACAGCAGCAACGCAGCTTCAAGCCCAAATCACTGGGATAGATTTGTCTCTTTCCCTTTTCCACGGTTAATGCAAAAGTAGTAATAGCAGCTGCGCAGCTTCAAGCCTCAATCACTGGGATGCGGCCGTTGCTAGTAGAAAGAGTTCTACAACGCTGATATTTGATATTTCTGTTACCACTCCGGGCTTGTTTAGGTTTGGCTTCTTCCCTTTATCATGATAAATGCAAAAGCAGCTGCGCAGCTTCAAGACTCAGCGGCTGAGTTGCGCCGCTGCCAGAAGGAAGAGTTCCACTAGCTTGATCTTTCCGTTACTTCCGCAGGTTTGCTCTGATTTGTCTCTTTTTGTTTTATCATGGTAAATGAAAATATATTCATAGCAGCTGCGCAGCTTCAAGCCTCAATTGCTGGAATGCGCCGACGCCAGAAGCAACAGTTCCACTAGCTTGATCTTTCCGTTACTTCCGCAGGTTTGCTCTGATTTGTCTCTTTTTGTTTTATCATGGTAAATGAAAATATATTCTTAGCAGCTGCGCAGCTTCAAGCCTCAATCGCTGGAATGAACCGTTGCGTTAGGGGAGTTCTCCTAACTTGATCGTTACGTTACTTTCGTAAGTTTGCTTAGGATTGTCCCTTTCTCTGTTCCATGATGAAAGCAAAAGTAGTAACAGCAGCTGCTCAGCTTCAAGCTTCAGTCGCTGGGATGCGCCACCGCCAGGAGAAAGAGTTCTACTACCTTAATCTTTCCGTTACCACCACAGGCTTATTCAGGTTTGTCTCCTTCTCTTTTCACTGATGATGCAAAAATAATTACAGCAACTGCTCAACTTCAAGCCGCCACAGCTGGGATGCGAAGCTGCCAGGAGAAAAAGTTCTACTACCTAGATCTTACCGTTACCACTGCAGGTTTGCTCAGGTTCATCTCTTCTTTTCCATAGTGAATGCAGGAATAGTTATAGCAGCTGCTCAGCTTCAAGCCGCAATCGATGGAATGAACCGTTGCGTTAGGGGAGTTCTACTACCTTGATCGTTACGTCACCTTCGCAAATTTGCTTAGGATTGTCCCTTTCTCTGTTTCATGATGAAAGCAAAAGTAGTAACAGCAGCAACGCAGCTTCAAGCCCAAATCACTGGGATGAGCCATCGCCAGGAAGAAGAGGTCTACTGCTTTAATCTTACCGCTACCACCGCCGGCTTGTTAAGGTTTATCTCTTCTCTTTTCCAAGGTTAATGCAAAAAAAATTATAGTAGTTGCTCAGCTTCAAGCAGCAATCACTGGGATGCACTATTGCGATAAAGGTGAGTGCTACTTCTTTGATCTTTCTGTAAGATCCGCAGGTTTGCTTAGGATTGTCCTTTTATCTTTTCCATGATGAATGCAAAAGTAGTAAGAGCAGCTGCGCAGCTTCAAGACTCAGCGGCTGAGGTGCTGCCAGAAGGAAGAGTTCCACTAGCTTGATCTTTCCGTAACTTCCGCAGGTTTGCTCTGATTTGTCTCTTTTTGTTTTATCATGGTAAATGAAAATATATTCATAGCAGCTGCGCAGCTTCAAGCCTCAGTCGCTGGGATGCGCCGTTGCGAGAAGGAATGGATCTACTACCTTGATCTTTCTGTTAGCACAGCAGGCTATATTTATCCAATAAACAGGTTTAGAAGTGAATGGTGACAGCACAGGTGACACTAGTAATGAATGATGACACGTAAAATATTTAGTTCTTTGATTTTGTGGCAAGAAATGCTAACTTAGCTTATCACTCTATATACGGATACAACGAGCAACGTATCCAATCTCCAGACAATGTTACGTTGGCAAACGTCGGTAACGTATGATATTGCATATACAAAGTTAAATGAAATCTTGTAAAATAGCCCTCGTACATGTGTTATAATCTAAATAACACAAATCTCTAAAATATACTTTAATCATCTCACATGTTCAATAAATACAAACAGTTGCGACCTATGTTCTTAACTTATGTTCATGTTATCCTTTATCCTTATCTACCGCTTCTCCTGGACAAATTCCGGCGTTTTCGTCGTCGTTTTACGCAACGGGGAATCCCAACACTGAAAACAGCCAAAAGTATATTAGCATAGCATTTAATATCAGACGAGAACCATTTTAGGGGCTCATTTAGGGGTTACAGTTAGACCGACTCTACTTACGAAATTCAATTAACTCCAACTTTGCGCTGATCGCGCTGAGACAGCGCATACTTTTATTAGGGTCATTTTACTTAGCGAGAACTCCGAAGCAGATTTGAATATTTGAACAGTTTTGTAGTCTACGGCGTAGCGCGGACAACGTTAGTTAGACTTCAATTTACTTCGTTGCTGAGTAATCCTAGTCTTGTATAGGGTGTCCCATTTTCGATGATATCACGAGTAAAGATAGAGAGTTGCGGTTTTGTCAATACTGTGCTATTTTTTTTTTGTGAAAAGACAGATGAAATTGAAAATGTTGCTTTTTGGGACCCTTCCTCATATCTCCGTTATCCTTCAACTTATCGCAGAGCTAAAAACTGGCCCTTGTACAGTTTTTTACGTATAATACAGTGGCTTAGTTAAATTTTTGCTGTGTGCCGTCAATGTTTAGTTAAAAATAAAACTTGCTTTTTTTTAATGGGACATCCTGTATATTTTTTCTCGTCTGCTGTCAAAGATTTTGATTTTTTTTCTTGGTGTCCAAGATTTATTATAGGACTTTGTAGCGCATAGTTTAGGTTTTCTTCTGCCTGTGTAGCGAATCAAACTTTGTGCACTTAGGAATGCAAATAGCTGCTAATACTACTTAGATTTTTGATTACGTTAAAAATTGGAGTAAAATTAAGAAGGGTAGAAGTTGTCCCAGTTGCCAGGCCACTACTACTACTAGATTTTTCTAATTATATCGGGTTTTCCCACTGTGCCCGTGGTGGACATATGAACGAGGTTGAATTCCATACATAAATGATTACTTCAATACTTCGATCCAATAATAAAATTTTCGAGATACATATCTCGTTTTATTTAAAAAGAAAGTTGTTAAGCCTTAATGGAAAACCCTTTATATATAGTATTAAGCAAACAAAAATATTACGACGAACTCCAAGGCTTTTCCGTAAAATGAACAGAGGTGGAAAACAACTTCAATATGAGGTATCTTTACGTTTGATAAAAATATTGAAAACATCCTTGGATCTATGTAAACACATATGCTTGGAAGAGCAGCTAGATTATTTTCCTCAACGTACGTGTGGAGAACTGATTGCCTTGTTACGTAACATGCATAGATAATCCTGTTTACAACTGTTGCGTACTAAATTCTCCGACGCCCAATTTCTCAACCAAAGATGCCGTAGTAACAAGCAAGTCAGTTTTCTTGCAGATCTTGCTTGCGCAGTTGATAACGCAAACTGTTCAATTCATATCGACAACTATAGATAATTATACAAAGTTCTATTTTTCTACAAACGCTTGCACCTTAGCCCACTATTCCCGCGAAACTGCAACATTGAAATCATCATATTGCTAGTCATCTTTCGCGGAAGAGTTTTCTTAGAATTCGTACGACGCATCTCTTGATTGTGTCATGTTTAATACTGTACAACTGTTTTACGTTTACTTGATCCAAAAATGTAGTTTTAATTTCGCTATTCTCTTTTCTTCAGACCCTTGGAATATTTTATCATTTTCACTTACCATCTACAGCTGCTTGAACTGCTTTTTCAAACTCTGCCAGCCCTGTCGTGTGATGAAAGAAAATATTTAAATTAGAAATATACTAAGTGACATATAAATCCGAACACCCAGTTTAAATGGTTTTATTTTAATAAAATTTTGTATAAGTACTTAATGAAGCATAATAAGTAAATGATAAAAATTTCAAAATGATTGCACTGCTTTAAAGCCCTTTGACCTTTAATAATGTGTGGATGCACCCTGATGTGCTACGCATTCTCCAACGCGCCTAGGCATGCTTCTGATCAGGTGGTCAATGTCCTCCTGTGGTATCTCATTCCAGGCAACCACCAACTCCTTTCGAAGTGCTTCTAGAGTCTGAGAAGGACGTTGCAAATTGAGCAATCTCCTACCCATCATATCCCAGACGTGCTCAATTGGGGTAAGTCGGGAGATCTTGGTGGCCATGGTAACAATGTGACATCATTATGTTGAAAGAAGTCTAATGTGACTCTTGCAACATGTGGTCGGGCATTATCTTGTTGGAAAGTTGGATCTGCCAGGGTGTCAAGATAGGGTAAAAGATGGGGTTCCAGAACTTCGTGGCTATAACGCTGCGCGTTCATGTTACCTCTGATGAAGATTAAAGGTGACCTAGAACCATAAGCTGTAGCACCCCAAAACCATAACTCCAACAGTGTGATGAACATGTCTTTCAACAAAAAACTGTGGATTTAGCTCCTTTCACCACGTCGCCTTCTAACCCTTGCACGACCATCGTGCATGCCTAAACAAAATCGAGACTCGTCACTAAAGACAATACTGTTCCATTCCTGATCCCAGAGTGACCGTTGTCTGCACCAGTCAAGGCGATTACGTCGGTGTTCTCGAGTTAAAGGGAGGACCCAGTGTGGCCGGTATGAAAACAAGCCAAAACTTCTCATTCGTCGGTAAACACTTCGCAATAGGACTTCCGTGTTCTGCAAACCATTCATTTGCAATGGACCTGGTAGTGGAGAAACGGTCCCTCAAGGCCAATAATCTTAGGCGGCGATCTTCACGGTCTGTTGTTCTACGGCGGCGTCCAGTGCCCCTTGCTCTTTGCGTACGGCCTTCTCGAAGCCATGCCTGACAACACCTAACCACACTGTCTACACTTCTTTGCACTCTAACTGCAATTGCCCGAAAAGAAAGTCCAGCTTCCCGAAGTCCCACTATACGGCCCCTATCAAACTCACTAAGTTGACGAAATCGTACAAGTCTCCGTACTCTAGGGGCATCGTAACCGATCGTAAAGGATGTCAAGAACCAAAATCCGCCAACGTTGATTCTTTACTGCGGCTGAAATATTCATTTTTACAGCGTTAGTGACTTAAAAAAAAGCAGTATAAAAACCGGAATGTCCAACTGATAAGGCTGAAAGTTTTTTCACTTGTTATTTACAGTAAGATAAATACATTCACCAGCTTTTATTAAAATAAAACCATTTAAACTGGATGTTCGGATTTATATGTCACTTAGTATACATGTGGAGTTGGGAAAAATCGATAGATCTTACCTGTAACTGCTGTCAAAGTTCCAGATATTCCCACGAGCCCTGTAAGGTGATTATCTAGTTTAAAACTTAAATGTCATTATAATTTTATTTAGAAGTCATTAATTATGATCAATGTTTGACCGCGAATATTTCGAAAACCATGAGGTCTACGTCAAGGTATATTTGATAAAAAGTATTCAGAATTTCTCGAATAAAATGTATAGCATTCTTTGAGAAATTAAAACTTGCTATCAGTTTCTGAAAAACTGTAGATCTGGCAACATCGCGGATGTCATCAACGAATCCGCCGTGGTTTGGAACCTAAACTTACTAATTTTTAAGAAAATTAGATGAGTAATTCGTCAGATATTCGATGAGTTGTTACAGTCTGAAGAACCTTGCAAAATATGGGACTGTTGACTCACCTTTAAGAGCTTTTCTCAACAAACGAAGCACTCCAAGGTTGATAGCTGCAAAAATAAAATAAACAAACATAATCCTTTGAAGTTTTAATCACAACTCTGACCAATCCGTAAGCTGATAGGTATACTGGGACGTTGAAGCGAAATCGTTTTTTCATGCATCGAAATCTATGGAGTAATTTTTCTAAATGTGTCATTTGTGGCACTCTAATTTCTCTTATACGATTAAGTTTGAACGTACATTTCACATCTCGAATCTAAAACAAGCAAGAATAGCATTCTATCGATCAGTAGAAAGTTTGGACAAACATTCACAACAAAAATGCAAAGGTATAAGGTATAAAAAATATAGCATTAATTTTTTTGGCCTAATAAAACAAATATTAACTGGTTAAGACCGAAGAAAAAGTGTATTGTAGCATTCTCGAAGCTAGAGCTTTAGGGTACCGATGAGACGCCCTCACAACATCGTCGCTTAGGCAACAAGAATTACGCGACCGTGTATGTATTGCGTTCACGTTCAGACGGCCAGCGGGATGCATCGAACGTCATCTGAAAGGCTACGGATTGGCCGATTTGAGATAAATAGGCACTGCGATGACAGAATAATACAGTGGAGACGCGATAGTCCAGTCATCATAGTCATAAATTTGCAATAAATTACTTGCGAGTATTGTAATCAATCAGTGTGAAAGTAAGCTAGACTTTAAGGAGTAAGTGAATGCAAGACTCAGTTAGTTAGTTGTTGAAAATATTTGAAATCCGTGGAGAGCTCTTCGTCCATCAATTTTATGCATTTTTCAGGAACATACTAATTTAGTTTTGAATTTTTCTGTTTGATACTCGTCGCCCTAAATAGTAAAAGCGGTGTTTCCGTTACGGTACCGACAGACCCAGTTTCTCGATGATATAACGAACCTGAAAGCCTTCTAAAATCCTGCATGGTCTGCTCCATCCAAGCGATGAACTCTCTCGGGTATAAGAAGTTCTTCTGTCCGGTCTCATTCTGAGCTACGCTCTCCACAGCCAACAGTTCCTTCCATTTGCTCTCCGCGATCGCCTTCGCTTTTTCGATGCCCTTTTTCTCGGCTAGCGGCGGTAGCAGCTCCTCGGGAACATCCTTAGGGCTGTTGGGGAGACCGGTCAGGTCCACGATCAAGTCTTCGGGCTTCAAGGCCGCTGCAAGTTTGGTCATGAGTCAAGGGCGGAACGAGCGTTTGAGTCGGGGGGTCACGGGATTTATCTTTAGGAAAATATTCGTCGCGCAGCGGGGGAGGTGATTGAAAAATGAAGAGCGGGGGGGGGGGGGAAGTGATCTTACCCGTGTACTCATACGGTGTATCCTATGTTTATGAGCTGATAGATGAAGGCACAGAGACTTGAACACTGTTATATAATTATCATGCTTATTGCTTACGATCTATCTACTGAACCTGATACTGAGCTACTTTGACGAGAGGACACATAGGCTGTCCACTGTCAAAAAACTGCTTACCATCTCATTTCAATCTTTCGACTTTTCTCTGATTTTGGACCGTGAAAAGGTATGTTTATCAAATTTGCGCACAGCGTTAAAGAAAAGGTTTTTCCTTATGTTCCTGTTCGACTGTCTGAATTTGAGTCTCAATTTCGAATAAAGCACTAACAGACACGCAGCGCTACCAAGCGCAAAAACGCAGAATCACTATTTCATTTATATTTGCATCAAGTTGAACGTATAGGCAACCAATCGATCGGGGTTGCCAGATCTAGTGATTTTTCACCAAAGTTGGTGATTTTTTATCCATGATATATTTGCAAAGAGCCTTACTTGCAAAATTTGAGTCAGTTTTGATAATCGATTTCCAATTTATAAAGTGAATTGACAGGGAAAATGAGTAACTTAAAACTAGACCGACGCAGTGTCATTGAATTTCAGACAAAAGAGGTCCATCAGCCGAAACATATTCTTGAGAGTATGGTGAATGATTCTAAGCGAAACATTAGGTTTTCATTTTCACGTTATTTTTACCTCATTTAGCTCGCGATTATGGATGGTGTGTCAGGTCATTTTCACGTGCTTTTGCTAACTGGGAATTCTACTATTACGATTTTCGAGTTAATGTTTGTGGTACCAACTTACTGTCAGGAAATCCCATGGTGTGTGAGATAGGACTGTCCGGTAAACGCCTGATAAAATTGTAAACCGTTCCCGAAGCTATACGGAGAGGCAACGGAACTTCATTGAAATCTGTAACGTAAAATGATAACGGAAGTTAGGAGTATTGTAAACGTTCGTAGATCCGCCTTACTTATCTCTGGTATAGCAGGAATCTCAGCCGTTTCTTTATGCTGAATTTCGGCTGCCTCGGCGGCTTCTTCACTTTTTGGACGTACAACGACTGGAAAAATATAACTTTATTTATGCATGCACAAACAAAAGAGCTACCTGTATCTGGATTAGCAGCCTTCGATAATTTCTTAGTTATATGCCGGATATTCGCAGCTTCTGGGCTCGTTGGATCTACAGGAACTGTGATAAAAACAATTATTGGATAAACTATTTTTATACAGACTAATTAGAAAACAATGACAATATTTCTACGCGAGAAATTACACTAAATATAGTAAGTGACATATAAATCCGAACACCCAGTTTAAATGGTTTTATTTTAATAAAATTTTGTATAAGTACTTAATGAAGCATAATAAGTAAATGATAAAAATTTCAAAATGATTGCACTGCTGTAAAGCCCTTTGACCTTTAATAATGTGTGGAGGCACTCTGATGTGCTACGCATTCTCCAACGCACCTAGGCATGCTTCTGATCAGGTGGTCAATGTCCTCCTGTGGTATCTCATTCCAGGCAACCACCAACTCTTCTCGAAGTGCTTCTAGAGTCTGAGGAGGACGTTGCAAATTGAGCAATCTCCTACCCATCATATCCCACACGTGCTCAATTGGGGATAAGTCGGGAGATCTTGGTGGCCATGGTAACAATGTGACATCATTATATTGAAACTCTATTGTGACTCTTGCAACATGTGGTCGGGCATTATCTTGTTGGAAAGTTGGATCTGCCAGGGTGTCAAGATAGGGTAAAAGATGGGGTTCTAGAACTTCGTGGATATAACGCTGCGCGTTCATGTTACCTCTGATGACGATTAAAGGTGACCTGGAACCATAAGCTATAGCACCCCAAACCATAACTCCAACAGTGTGATGAACATGTCTTTCAACAAAAAACCGTGGATTCTTCCTTTCACCACGTCGCCTTCTAACCCTGGCACGACCATCGTGCATGCCTAAACAAAATCGAGACTCGTCACTAAAGGCAATACTGTTCCATTCCTGATCCCAGAGTGACCGTTGTCTGCACCACTCAAGGCGATTACGTCGGTGTTCTCGAGTTAAAGGGAGGACCCAGTGTGGCCGGTATGAAAACAAGCCGAAACTTCTCATTCGTCGGTAAACACTTCGCATGCCAATAGGTCTTCCGTGTTCTGCAAACCATTCACTTGCAATGGACCTGGTAGTGGAGAAACGGTCCCTTAACGCCAATAATCTTAGGCGACGATCTTCACGGTCTGTTGTTCTACGGCGGCGTCCAGTGCCCCTTGCTCTTTGCGTACGGCCTTCTCGAAGCCATGCCTGACAACACCTAACCACAGTGTCTACACTTCTTTGCACTCTAACTGCAATTGCCCGAAAAGAAAGTCCAGCTTCCCGAAGTCCCACTATACGGCCCCTATCAAACTCACTAAGTTGACGAAATCGTACAGCTCTCCGTACTCTAGGCATCGTAACCGATCGTAAAGGATGTCAAGAACCAAAATCCGCCAACGTTGATTCTTTACTGCGGCTGAAATATTCATTTTAAGAGCGTTAGTGAATTAAAAAAAAGCAGTATAAATACCGGAATGTCCAACTGATAAGGCTGAAAATTTTTTCGCTTGTTATTTACAGTAATATAAATAGATTCACCAACTTTTATTAAAATAAAACCATTTAAACTGGGTGTTCGGATTTATATGTCACTTAGTATACTTTTTACCTCAAATATTCAAACTAATGTTTTTTCAAAAAGAGTAATCTGATAAAAATTTAGCAAGAGAGGCGATTTATCTGAAATATATACCTTATTTGAATAAAAATGCAATAGATGCTTAAATAAATAATAGTTTAAAAAACTAAAACAACACGCTTTTATAGCTAACAGGAACAAAAAGTATATAATAATTTGCAATTAAGAATAAAAATAAAATTATAATAAAACTTAAGTTACTAACAGAATAATTTAATTCAACGTGAGGTGCTTGATATATTAAATGTTACAATCATTCTATTGGCAATTATCTATGAGACGAGAGATATGAAAATGTATTAAAATGCACCCCACGCTTTTTACTCTTCACTGAATTATTCTGTTAATAACTTAAATGTTATTTAAATTTTGATGATTAAAAATCATTTTCTACTATCTACATACATACATACAGGCAAGCTAATCAAGCCGTATTAAAAAAAATCAAAAAAAAGTATAGCACAATCTGCCTCCTGTGAGGATTGAACTCACGACCTCTGGTTCTAGACCAGTGCTCTGACACTGAGCTACAGATTCTTGTAGTTTCAATATTCGTAAAGCGGCCTTTGAAATCGGTGGGGTTTTGTTAACATATCTGCTTTTTACAGAATTTTACCTATGGATTAATCAAACGTCTGGAAATTGGTGAAAACTATGCTCAAAGATTCCGTTTCATAGATACATACATACAGGGCGAGCTGATAATAAAAAAACGTGTTAAAATGTCAGTATAAAATGGCCAAACGTTGGCGTTATTTACGATTCCTCTCAATTTGGAAAACTCACCAGGACCTCCTTTGTCGGCATAGCAAATGTTCGAGGCTAAAGACAACGTCACACACAACACGACATACGCGCGAATCATCGTGACTTTTTCTAAGAAATGTGCACAACACAAAACCGTTCGGTATTATTTATAAATTTTGTTCGGCCGTTGATAAAGAATGTCGAATAAACGACGCTTAAACGGTGCTGATATTCGATATTCATGACCAGAGCTAATTTCCTAAATGAACTTGGAGCGTTCGGCAATTTTCTTAAAAGTACCAATTAGTTTGAAAATCTCGGTTGATTAATAAAAATCGATTTGCTTACATTTCCCGATTGATTTAGCAGTACGAGGAGCAAGGAGGAAGCTTGAATGGAAGAGTTTGTGACCTTGGAAACACGTTATATCAGGAGTGGGAGGAATTCTCCTGAGCTCTTAGGATTGAGGGCGTACGTAACAATGTAATATAGAAAGCTTATTTTCTCATTAATAAAATAAAGTGCTTAATAAAGATTTTGATTATCCTGTGTATTATATGTATAAGCGTATGTAATGGCGTCAGGTAGGTTGACTCTCGACTAGCTGTAACCCCCCCTTTTACGAGTTAAATAGTTACTAACATACAGGGTGTTCATTTGAATTGGGACAACTTTTTAATCAAAAACTACTCCTCCTTTCACCCTCTACCCCCAGGGTCATTCCATTAAAAATTTCAAAAGACAAGTGGTATCAGGTAACAGATTGTTTGAAAGGTCTTTCGAAGTCTTTTACTTTGACGTCTGATTTTTGACAATCGGTCGATTCGTTTTCAAGAAAATTAGAAAAATCTTTATTTATCTTAATTTGTTCAGATAAGAAACAATAACACTCGAAAATATCACTTTTTATTTCAATAAGTGTTCAAAATGTTTGCCAATTCGTTTATAATTTAAAACGAAAACTACCAACATAAACAGGAATTCGGAAGATTAGACGTGGCAACAACCAAATCACAACCCGAATTTTTTCCGCATTGTATTTATTGTTATACCTGTCTAGTGTCTTTTCCTTTTAATCGGTGGTTTTCTATAAATCCGTAGTGGAAAGTGTTCAAATGATTACCCTGTATATGTATTAAGAACAAAGGAGCAATCGTACCGGCCAGCTCTTGATCGACAAAGCTGGATTGAACTAGAATAAAAACAGATGCTTAGGGCTTAGACGGGTAGTTAAGCCGGTTTTCTGTTAGCTCAATAAAAACTGACAGTTTCGCTAACATTTTTTCTGATTTCCTGTAGTTAACAATGAAGATGGACTGGAAGCAGAAGAATGTGACGTCACTTGGAAATGTGTGTAGTCGGCTCACTCTAAGTTTGAACACCAAGCTTCGGTTTATCGTTTGGTGTTTTACCTTACAGTGAGCGGGCTGGATACCTATTCGTCGAACAGAAGAAGGAGAAGAAGAACAATCATTTTAACTGTCTATAATTTAGGCTCGTAATACCGTACACTATCTTCTAGAGTATTTCATTATGAAATTTGCTGAGCAAATTGTAGAATAAGCTAAATTCATCGAACATTCTTCTATCGCCCATTTGTTACGACAAATATCCATTGAAATTTCCTTTCTTTTCCCAGACGAGTTCTGTGAGGAGTTCCCGCACAACTTCATCCCAACTCCAGGCTACTGGATAGAATGCTCCCGGCAGAAGATCACCTCGGACACGATTTGGGACGAAAGCGAGAGCGACCACGACAACGAAATCCAGGAGGGTGAGGAAGACGAGGAAATAGAGAAACGAGACGACCGGGGGGACAGGGAGAATGGATACAGGAGGAGGGATAGAGGTAAAAGTCACGCTGTACTCAATCTAGCATCTTGAATCTTGAATCTTGAGTCTCGGATCTAGAATCTGGACTCCGACCTCTACACTCTGCACACTAGACTCTGCAATCTAGAATCTAGAATCTAAAGATCATTTCTACGACGCATTTTTATATTTCTCTTTGAATGTAGGCAGTAGAATACAGTACGTAGAATATGTATATAATCCAGAATTTATAATCTAGTATCTAGAACTTAGAGTCATCAGGAATCTAAAATCTAGTAGCTAGAAACCAGGACCTAGAAATTAGAAGCTAGAAACTAGAATCCAGAATCCAGAAGCCGGAATCTGGAATATTGAATCTTGGACGTTGAATCTAGAATCTAAAATTTAGACTCTTGAATCTTGACACTAGAATCTAGAAACTAGAATCTAGAAACTAGAATCTAGAAACTATAATCTAGAAACTAGAATCTAGAAACTAGAATCTAGATACTAGAATCTAGAAACTAGAATCTAGAAACTAGAATCTAGAAACTAGAATCTAGAAACTAGAATCTAGAAACTAGAATCTAGAAACTAGAATCTAGAAACTAGAATCTAGAAACTAGAATCTAGAAACTAGAATCTAGAAACTAGAATCTAGAAACTAGAATCTAGAAACTAGAATCTAGAAACTAGAATCTAGAAACTAGAATCTAGAAACTAGAATCTAGAAACTAGAATCTAGAAACTAGAATCTAGAAACTAGAATCTAGAAACTAGAATCTAGAAACTAGAATCTAGAAACTAGAATCTAGAAACTAGAATCTAGAAACTAGAATCTAGAAACTAGAATAGAAACTAGAATCTAGAAACTAGAATCTAGAAACTAGAATCTAGAAACTAGAATCTAGAAACTAGAATCTAGAAACTTGAATGTAGTAACTAGAATCTAGAATCTAGAAACTAGAATCTAGAAACTAGAATCTAGAAACTAGAAACTAGAATCTAGAAACTAGAATCTAGAAACTAGAATCTAGAAACTAGAATCTAGAAACTAGAATCTAGAAACTAGAATCTAGAAACTAGAATCTAGAAACTAGAATCTAGAAACTAGAATCTAGAAACTAGAAACTAGAATCTAGAACTAGAATCTAGAAAGAATCTAGAAACTAGAATCTAGAAACTAGAATCTAGAAACTAGAATCTAGAAACTAGAATCTAGAAACGAATCTAGAAACTAGAATCTAGAAACTAGAATCTAGAAACTAGAATCTAGAAACTAGAATCTAGAAACTAGAATCTAGAAACTAGAATCTAGAAACTAGAATCTAGAAACTAGAATCTAGAAACTAGAATCTAGAAACTAGAATCTAGAAACTAGAATCTAGAACTAGAATCAGAAACTAGAATCTAGAAACTAGAATCTAGAAACTAGAATCTAGAAACTAGAATCTAGAAACTAGAATCTAGAAACTAGATCTAACTAAGAATCTAGAAACTAGAATCTAGAAACTAGAATCTAGAAACTAGAATCTAGAAACTAGAATCTAGAAACTAGAATCTAGAAACTAGAATCTAGAAACTAGAATCTAGAAACTGAATCTAGAAACTAGAATCTAGAAACTAGAATCTAGAAACTAGAATCTAAGAAACTAGAATCTAGAAACTAGAATCTAGAAACTAGAATCTAGAAACTAGAATCTAGAAACTAGAATCTAGAAACTAGAATCTTAAACTAGAATCTAGAAACTAGAATCTAGAAACTAGAATCTAGAAACTAGAATCTAGAACTAGAATCTAGAAACTAGAATCTAGACAGAATCTAGAAACTAGAATCTAAAACTAGAATCTAGAAACTAGAATCTAGAACTAGAATCTAGAAACTAGAATCTAGAAACTAGAATCTAGAAGACTAGAATCTAGAAACTAGAATCTAGAAACTAGAATCTAGAAACTAGAATCTAGACACTAGAATCTAGAAACTAGAATCTAGAACTAGAATCTAGAAACTCGAATCTAGAAACTAGAATCTAGAAACTAGAATCTAGAACTAGATCTAGAAACTAGATCTAGAACTAGAATCTAGAACAAATCTAGAAACTAGAATCTAGAAACTAGAATCTAGAAACTAGAATCTAGAAACTAGATCTAGAAACTAGAATCTAGAAACTAGAATCTAGAAACTAGAATCTAGAACTAGAATAGAAAACTAGAATCTAGAAACTAGAATCTAGAAACTAGAAATCTAGAAACTAGAATCTAGAAACTAGAATCTAGAAACTAGATCTAGAAACTAGAATCTAGAAACTAGAATCTAGAAACTAGAATCTAGAAATCTAGAATCTAGAAACTAGAATCTAGAACTAGAATCTAGAAACTAGAATCTAGAAACTAGAATCTAGAAACTAGAATCTAGAAACTAGAATCTAGAAACTAGAATCTAGAAACTAGAATCTAGAACTAGAATCTAGAAACTAGAATCTAGAAACTAGAATCTAGAAACTAGAATTCTAGAAACTAGAATCTAGAAACTAGAATCTAGAAACTAGAATCTAGAAACTCTAGAATCTAGAAACTAGAATCTAGAAACTAGAATCTAGAAACTAGAACTAGAAACTAGAATCTAGAAATAGAATCTAGAAAAGAATCTAGAAACTAGAATCTAGAAACTAGAATCTAGAAACTAGAATCTAGAAACTAGAATCTAGAAACTAGAATCTAGAAACTGGAATCTAGAAACTAGAAATCTAGAAACTAGAATCTAGAAACTAGAATCTAGAACTAGAATCTAGAATCTAGAAACTAGAATCTAGAAACTAGAATCTAGAAACTAGAATCTAGAAACTAGAATCTAGAAACTAGAATCTAGAATCTAGAATAAGAAACTAGAATCTAGAAACTAGAATATAGAAACTAGAATCTATAAATTAGAATCTATAAACTAGAATCTAGAAACTGCAATCTAGAAACTAGAATCTATAAACTAGAATCTAGAAACTAGAACCTATAAACTAGAATCTATAAACTAGAATCTAGAAACTAGAATCTAGATACTAGAATCTAGAAACTAGAATCTAGAAACTAGCATCTAGAAACTAGAAACTAGATTCTAGACACTAGAATCTACAATCTAGAATAAAGAAACTAGAATCTAGAAACTATAATATAGAAACTAGAACCTCGAAACGAGAATCTAGAATCTAGAAACTAGAATATAGAAATTAGAATCTATAAACTAGAATCTAGGAACTAGAATCTAGGAACTAGAATCTAGGAACTAGAATCTAGAAACTAGAAACTAGAATCCAGAATCTCGGATCTGGAATCTGGAATCTAGATTCTAAAATCATTTCTAAGTTATCCGATACGTTTTTCTATTTCTCTTTGAACGTTCGCAGGCTGCAACGACTTGTACGAAGACGAAGAAGATGAGGAAGACGACTCGATATCGCCGAA